ACACAGATTCATATCTGTCAGTGCTGCACATAAGTAGTAGGACCACACATCCACTTAGTTGCCACTTTGCTAAGGCAGGGATGAATATTATTAACACGAGCAGCAAACCTGACTTACCATTAGCGTCATGAGAGTACTCAACCCCTGCCACTGTACATCTTCGGAACACCATTTTGTTTTCTGTGAGTGTTCCAGTTTTGTCAGAGAAAATATACTGTATTTGTCCCAGATCTTCTGTGATGTTTAGTGCCCGGCATTGCAGACGAGAATCAGTCTCTTCATCGTACAGGTCCAAGTCTTGATGGATGAAAAATACTTGGCAAATTTTAATAATTTCAATGGAGACATACAGTGAGATTGGAATCAACACCTACAATAAAACAATTGATTAAAAAAATTACAACATAACAGCAAAACATTTCCACTGTTAGAATTACAGCGACCTGACTTCCAAACAAAAAAGCATTTTTCCAGCTCAGCAATGTTGCTACGTCAGCTTGACTTCAGGTCAATGAAAGATAAGGAGATCATCCATGTTCAGTTAAGAGGGAATAGATCGGCTTTAAAAGAAAACTTGCATTTACTTAGTACATTTTCTTGATCTCAGGCCACCCCAACATGCATTAAAGCCATAGAAGTACTTCTGACATTCAGTCGCTGTTGTTGCAAAGGAAACCCTGCAGAAATTCGTACATAGCAAGATCCCAAAAACAGCTCTTTGAATAATAACAAGGTAATCTACTTTCATGATGCTGAGTGAGGAATCAATATCAGCCAGGACATACACCCCTGAGCATCTTCTTCAGTGCCGTGACTTCTCTTATATCACCTAGATTATTTTCTCCTTTCACAGAATTCCTGCAGTGTGGCAGCAGGCCACTCGGCTCATTGAATCCACATTGACCCTCCGAACAGTGACCCATTCTTGTAACCCTGCATTTCCCATGGGTAATTCCCCTAGCTTCTACATCCCTGGACACTTTGGGCAATTTTCTATGGGCAATCCACCTAACCTGCACATCTTTGGACTGTGGGAGGAAACCTGAGCACCCGGCAGAAACCCATGCAGACACGGGGAGCATGTGTAAACTCTACACAGACAGTCACCTAAGGCTGGAATCGAATCTGGGGCACTGGCACTGTGAGGCTGCAGTGCTAACCACTGAGCCACTGTGCTGCCCAGCCTTATAATAGTGTAATTTGATTAATTGGATGTTTAGTTAATTTGGTGAAATTGTTCTGAAATTAATAAAAGTGCTGGGTTTTCCATCAGTGGAAAAAAAAAGCTGAGTTCCTCATGTCTTGTGGCACAGTGGTAGTGTCCCTACTTCTGGGCCAGAAGGTCTGGGTACAGCCCCATGTGTGTCAAACAGGTGTCATTCCATGTTTGAACAAGTTAAGTCACCAAAAAAGGAGCTGAATTCTGCCCCAGTGGATGTAGGATTCTGGACAGGAAAAGAATCCAGAAGGGAAAGGTGGAAACTGATATGCATGTTATTTTACCAATTTACCGTGAAACCACTGTAGGTCTTAAAAAGTCTTTAGCTGCTGAATTCAACATAGGGGCAGCAGTGAATGAAATACTCCTCACACAAAGCGTTTGACAGAACTAAGCAGATGATTGAAAGTTTCCAAATTTGGGTATTACAGTTATATAGTAACAAGGCAAATACAAAATAAAGAATGTAAATTATGACAACTTGTATTTATTAAACCCCCTTAATATAACTCTCCCAAAATACATCACAGGAGCGTTATCATGGAGAATTTGATGCTAAACCAGGCAAAGAAGGAAGACCAAAATCTTGTTCAAAGAGGTAGGTTTTAAGAAGAGTCTTAAAGGAGAATATAGAGAATAGGTTTCAGGGAGGGAAATGTCAGTGCTTAAGGGGCTAGAAAGCTGAAGACCATAACCATTAATGCTGCACTGGAGGGCATTAAGGATATTATGTTGCCTTTTTTGGGCTTGAAGGTTTTATTTCTTCAGTCATTGCTAGCTTTGGAAATGTGGGAAATTTCGGTAAAAGCCTTCAACCCATGACAATGCTGCTGGATGATTATGGAGGATCATTTTATAACGAGAAGAGATATGCAAGTAAAGCGTATCTGCCCTGTTACCTGTAGGACAATTATCATTGTGAAGAACAAATATAATCCAGATAAAGCAGGAGATAAAGCTTTGCCATTGCTGCTGAGAACATCAAATACTGGCCGCTCATCGCCATACTGTGCTACCCAAAGTCCATGGCCTGCGTAATGCAAACAAAAACAATGTTAGGAAACACTGGCATCCAAATCAAGGTAAAACAGTACATTTTCTACTTAGATAACAAGGTGTAGAGCTGGATGAAC